CTACTTTCATTCTCAGTTTTTATACGAAATAGTACGTTGTTTTCAAAAACAACCGGGCTATAAAGTAGACCAGGTTGAGGAAAAATAATTTTGTTTGAAAGCTCGATCAGAGTGGAGGAAGGAGTACCAAACAAAGTAGGCGGTGGTAAACCTCGTGGCAACCGCTGGGTGCCGGCTTATTTTGAAAGCCCTGCAAGCAGCCACTTTTAAGTCGCCTAATGTTGTTAAATCGAAAAAATATTTTTGTAAAACATTGTACTGTACGCACAAATAAAAGAGCAAAATATCTTCGGAGCTAAATTAAAAACACGTTGTAATGGTTTTTTAGCGTTTCAAACGACTTCACCGGTAATCCTTTTTGTGTTTCGACGCCATTTCGGCGTCATGCGGCAATCAGTAACTCTCCTTGCCGAGTAAATCGCCTCCATATAGATAGGCTCTTAGTGAAAAGTCTACATTGGCTTATTAATATATAATTGTGATCTAAACCTAAATTAGAATGATCTAAAATATTTCCAGACAAACTCTTTATTTATTTTGTTTGTTAACTGTTCTAATTTACCAATTAGTAAAAACTTCTCATGTTAAAATTTAAAAATACGTCTTCCCAAATAAAACACTTCCTCTGCCCTCTAGCGCAGTTTTTCTCATCCGGACGTCGCAGCCGGTAAATAACAGTTGAATACTTGTTATAGCTCAATTGCAATTTATCCCAATGCGTAGCACGCGTCTTTTGGATGCTAATTGGTGGAAAGTCTAAATTGGCTTATTTTAGTTGTAATCTAAAACCAGACAAGCTTATTATCTTCATTTGAGTACTGTGGCAATAAACCAATTAGTAAAAATCTTCCCCTGTTAAAAATACTTCATCCCAAACAAAGAAATTTAGACAATGTAGTTGCCTAATCGGTATGCGGGCGCTTATCTTTCTCGATTTTATACATTAATTGGTGCATGTATCAGGAATGGTAGTCAAATTTTAGCCTGCATCTCTTCTGCATTTAATATTGTGTGCACAGATTTAATTTTTCCATAATTATTAATAAAGATTATAGTTTTAGCTTTTGAATGGCACATGTGTGTGTGGAGAACGGTTGCTCCCCCATTAATGCATAATGACGTTTCCTTTAGACCATTGTTAATAGCGGACATAAAAAGTCCTCTCCTCTATTAACTATGTTTAGACGTGCAACTACTATTAGCAAGTAAGATATTTTGTGTGGATGCGCATGCTTTATTTTTATAAAAAGATCAAAGATTCTAGGATTCCAAGATTCTAAGATTCCATGTTTGCAACTTACCGCTATGCCTATGAGACTGCGCGCAGACTAGCTAAAGTTGGATTACCTCTTTTTTTATGCAGCTGTATAATTGTCGGTATTTATACAAGAAAGACGTCTTTAATGGACGTCTGCGCGAATTAAACGTCTTGTGTAACTCGCGCTTTTTTGTAAAGATTTAAGGTCCAGACACATATTTAATTAAGGTCCAGCGATTCGACAACGCGACGCGATTTTTTTAGTTTTTGAAAGTTAATAAAACAGCCAATGAGAGCAAATTTTCAAAGATATGTAGACCAATGATAACTCAAAATGTTATATCGCTTCTAAAAATTTGGAAAATTCAAACCCAGTAGGATCAAAGTTATCGGTCAGTGAAAATCGAAAAATTGCGTCGCGTTGTCGAATCGCGTCCGGTGTGTCTGGGCCTTAATGGTGACAAATCCGGCATCTCCTGAAAAATATGTTTCCGTCGAAGTGTTCAACTGGGGCTGCAACCTCGCAAGCCAGGGTCTTTTACCTGCGCTCGGGCTACGGCGAAGACCCTGGTTCCCTCTGGTCATGTGAACCCCCAGATTTTAGGGGTAATTCGAATTGCCGCCTCTTTGCCACTTAGGGAGGAGTGGTAGGGGGAAATTCAAGAGCGAAAACGAAAACATCTATAACTATGCCTATGGAAAATACGGTCATTTACGCTCTGTATTAACCCATATTTTGGTTTTTATCGGTTTTTGTGTTATCTTTTATGAAATATGTCACCGCTTGAAAGCTTTTTACACCTACTTGATATAATTTGCATGGCTGGAGGTCTGTTTTACACCTTGAAGTGGAGCCATTATTTATCAACGCAAAGAAAATGAAGGTCGAATGCACACTTATACAAAGTCAAAGTACAGTATTTATAATTAAGTAGCTCTCAAGCTATAGTACTGCGAAAGGAAACTCCAAAGATGATTTGTATGGCTGTAGCACAGGCTACCAAGACTACCCTAGCTTGAAAGGATTATATGCACAATTTGCACTTGTCCTATTATAATGATTAATGCAGCTATTCCAATTAAGGTTAGTGTCACAGACAATAGTTAAATGTACAATTGAACGCTAAAAATTATCCTATTTTAACACATCAATAGCCTCATGGGAATACAAATTAAATTGGTATTCATAATATATTTGAGGTGCTTGTTGAAAACTATCAATATTCCCATTATTCATTTAGCACTCATATTATTGTACATCTGACTATTGTCTGTGACAACTTTAATGGAAATAGCTGTATGGTTACAGACAGTATATTGTATATACATATATATTCAATTTAGAATTTTGTTCTGGCACTGCTGAATGGGTTTTTGTACTGTCCATGAAGTAAATTGAGTTTATATATGCAAATGATGACCTATATATGAGAGAGTGTGAACATAGTGCAACTTGTACCCACTTTAAGAAAACTGATTTCAACAAAATTCACATTTGTGATTAATTGTATATTTATTTGGTACAAAGTCAAGAATATTTCACAGGCCCAAAAATATTTGTCTAATCAGGTAAAAACATTCCCTTTCATAAAAGATAACACAAAAACCGATAAAAACCAAAATATGGGTTAATACAGAGCGTAAATGGCCGTATTTTCCATAGGCATAGTTATAGATGTTTTCGTTTTCGCCCTTGAATTTCCCCCTACCACTCCTCCCTATTAAAGTGGCAAAGAGACGGCAATTCGAATTACCCCTAAAATCTGGGGGTTCACATGACCAGAGGGAACCAGGGTCTTCGCCGTAGCCCGAGCTCAGGTAAAAGACCCTGGCTTGCGAGGTTGCTGGGGCTGAACCCAAAGTCTCTGGGTTAACTTAACTTAACGGGGCTCTACTCACTGATCTATTGGGAAGAGAACAACATAACTAGCTTGGTTTGCTAATTTTCCATTTTCCTTCCATAATTGCTAATTTTCCATTCGCCTTCGGCTCAGTGAATGTATGCTATTAATCTAGGCCCGTTTCAGACGGTGTACTCTTCATGTGCTGAACTTAATTATTTTAGATGCGACGCTGCATGGAGCGACACAAGAACGGCAGTGATTCAAACGGCGTACCAAATGGCAAATACAAATTGAATGTTATATTGACAAGGTTTGGGCGCATTCGCGAGCGAAACAGAAAATAAAATTCGAAACAAATAAGTTTATTTTTAAATTGCATTTTTAAATAAACAATTAAAAGTTTATTTTTAAATTCAAAAAGTTGAGTTGGGTTTGGCACATGAGTGGAGTGGGAGTTGAGTTCCGCTCCAACGTCGCATGATCCGACAAGCTCTGCCGAACTTGATGCGAACTTTTGCCGCTCCAAATTCTGCCATACTTAATTGATTCATATTCGTCGCTCTTTTGCCGTACATGTGCCAAACTTAATTGACGAATTAGGTAAAGTACGCCCGCTAGAACGGACCCAAATCTTCAGGAATTCACAAACTTCTTACAAAAAATTTAAAAATTGCAGTTCTGATTTTCACTGACACTCAAATACTTTACCTTTTTTCCTTCCTAACCAATTCATGTTTTGCCTATACGATTTGAAAACAATTTGCCCATGCACTGGGATTCAATAATTTGCCGACTACCTGACGACTCCATGCCCCGCACACACACACATACACTCCGCCGTTAGCGCTGCCCTTGCATTTGTTATACATAAGAAAGGCCTTGGGCGGTGAGTGTCCATTACAATTGTAACGATCCTGACTGAAACACCACACGGGTAACACGAGTTACATACGAGTACATACTGGTACATACGAGTAATACAATCAATAGGCACCGTCATCCCTATTCAAAGCATGATTACGGCATCGTCTTTGACCATAGCGACTAGAAGCGTGGCATATAAATATGAATAATTATACTTTGAATAGGGATGACGGTGCCTATTTGCCAGAGGAATACATGCATCTTATTGGCAGACGACGTCATCTCTGGAGTATTTAAGAAGCCACATTGCAACTTTAGATCACCCCTGATGAAGACACTAGATTGGAGTGTCGAGACGTTGGGTCTTGATTACAATTCAACTGGGCTTTGTATTCATTTATATAAACCTGAGTAGCGAGCGAAAACATAATTGATATACCTGGTTGCCGTGAACGAACAACCTTTAAATTTCTCTTTGTTTAAAAAAGCGAATCTACTAGTGCTATTTTGTTTAGGCTTTTAAGATGTCGCGGAATATTTAACAAGCTGCCGCAATTCAGAAAGGTTTTTGCACACTGATCACGCCAGCAGCGGGAATAACGTGGAAGGTACCGAATATTTAAGGCTAATAATTGTTTTAGTATTTTTACACAAGTCTTTTGTGTTTTTTGGGACTGAATTTATTTTAATTTTGCTTATTTCTTTATCAGTAACTTCCACAAAACGGCTAGCCCCCATTTTGTAAATTTCGGTTTTATTCTATTCACCTGTACGTGAATATAACAGCTTAATATGGTCAGATTTGACCAATCAACTTGTAGGATTTGTTTATTCACTTAAAAATCGTAATAAGAATTATCCAGGGATTTATTGCTGACCGATCGCAAACGAGAATAAAGTTGTATTGGTATATTATCAATGAAATTATTTCAGTTTAGTTTCCTTCTGTGGGAAGAAACGATGAATATAAATAGTTTTCACTGCCACTGGACCTCGACTTCTTCCCTTCTGGACTGCTCCTTACTTTTTCACTCCTTCGGACTCTTTTTTCCCTTCGTCACAGCTGTAAATATTTCCATTTCTTTAGGTTGCTTACAGATATTGAAATGAATATCCTCGTTCATTTGCTTTTTCCATTGCTGATGATTTTTCTCTTCGTCGCCTTTCAAGCTTCGCCAAATGATATAAACTGTACGGCTGTGATAAACAAACAAAACTATGACTGCATAAATGCCACTGGAGTATTGTTGCGTGAAAAGCGAAAGGCTCGGTGGCGTAAAAGGCGTAGGAAATCAAAAAAGTGTCGTATCAGAATATTTAGAAAAAAATGTGGTCGAAAAAGAAGGAAACGGGTAAGATGATGTTAGCGTGTTTTGTAATCTAAAGTGTGACATTTGTATATATACTATCGAATATATCTATGCCGTATTTACTCGTTTAAGCGCCGCCCACAATTGAGCGCGCTGCCCCTGGTTAATAGCCTGCGTGCAAGCCCAAGGGAACTGATAGTGGGCCTGCAACCATCGCCCGGTATTTTGTAAAACGCCCCTTTTCATAACACGCCCCATTCGCGCGTTAATTGTCAAAAAAGAACCAATGACAGCATCCAAATATTAACAAACAAACTCGCATTAAAATGTTGCGGGGTTTTCTCTGCTTATTCAGAACACTAATAAACAATGTGTAAATGGCTGCGTTTTAACTCCAAAAAAGCAAGCAACGCAGTCAGTAATTGCCCAATTTGCAAGTGCTCATTTTCAACAAAAATCGGAACAGGCAAATTAGGACGAATTTCAACAGAAAACCAGTCTCAAACTTCAAATCATGAGGGAAGTCGTGCGACCACATTAGGATTTATATCATGTTCCTTCGCTGTCGCCATTGGCATTGTTATAAATAAATTGTCTCACTTATCAGATCGTGTGTGCAATTCTTGTTGGCGGCGGAAAGTACGAAATTTATTTCATTTATTTCATTTGGTAAAGAACTCTACAAAAGAAGAGAGCGTTCCGAGTCCAGATCGTTTCGTTTCAAACGGCAATTTAATACCGCTTTCTGTTTTGCTCTCTCAGCGAAGCCTTGTAAATCGCAAAGTGTTTCGAATAGGCTTACAGTCCTTACATGCAACTGCATCTCAACATCAACCAAAAGATAATTTTCTTGAGGAAGTGAGAACACATAACGTATCAACTGAAGTCTGTTTGAAATTAATGAAACTGAAGTAAAGGTTACTATAGTTTACCCCAGTCGTAATTTGCTATTCCAACACCTCACGACAAGCAATCCCCATTGGCATAACGGCAAAAAAATGTCTTCCTTCAAGTAAACAATAAACAGTCTGTTCTTGTTCCATTTGTAATCGAAAAAAGTGATCAGTTTTCAAATTTTAAGCTTATCGAGAGCCTTTGTCTATGCCTTTGTGATGAATCACTGTTCCCTTGGGCCTGCATGCTAGGTTAATTAATTACCGATCGCCTCAGCTAGCCAATGGGAATTTAGCCGGCGGTTCGGCCGGCGAAAATCGAAAACATGGGGTGATGGTTGCAGGCCCACTATCAGTTCCCTTGGGCCTGCACGCAGGCTACTGGTTAAAAGGTGGTCTTATACATTGCAAAAAATCACTTTTTTGAAATTTATAAATTTTAGGCCGCTATCATATATGCACTTTCATGCTAGCATTATTTTTTGGTGGTATCCGAGTTCCTAAAGTGACCTAAAGTGTAAACCTTTTAATCAAAGTTGCATAATATTGAAATTGACTGATAGCAATCAACTTAGCAACCGAATGTTATGTTTAAATCGATATTATTGGTTCGGTATTTCTGACCAAAATAGTCTATACTTGTATTTGAAGTCAGTATAATATAATTACAGGAAGCAGAACGACTATTTTGTCTCGAAGTTTCAACTGGAAGTCTTTCTCATTCAATCACAGGCGGGCCGCCTGTGATTGAATGAGAAAGACTTCCAGTTGAAACTTCGAGATCGGGCCGATCTCGCAAGGGTCAGTATAGACTTATATACTATTAATGTATATTATAGTAAAAATATGTCATATCATCATTTTAAAATGAAATTGACTTGCCTATTTGATAGTATGCGTTCTCCTTTTATTTCTGTTTTGTTGGACTAATATATATTTTCCGAGCTTTTGTACTCAATGGTACTAGTATACATACTACATGATAAAGGCAAACTATTTACAATCGTCGATCCGTCTGCACGGCACTTCGAATCGAAAATTCTCACACTCAAATCGCTTTATTCTCCCAAAAAAATTGCCAGCATGTAGAACAGATGCCGTTCTTCGAAAATACGGAGATACTTCAGCGTGATGTACAAGTTGTGGACCATATTTTAACAATGGAAATCAAAACCCATTTTATATTGAACTTACAAAGACCTACGATTACTACCGTTGGGATTTACAGGGCCGGGGGGGCGGGGGGAGACGCCGCCTGCCCACAGCATGAAAATATCAAAAAGCGGGAAGTACAATGGGAAACAACATAATATTGTCGTGTATACAGGATGTATAAAAAAAAGTAATCGAACTTCAGCGCGCTATTGTATCTGAATTACTCTGCGTATGAACGAGATTTTTCCACATTCGGAAAGATCATGCTTTTAGCCGTTGAATGATATCTTCTTCGTGCCAAATGGATAAAAAATGAGCAAATACGAATCCGATAAAAAATGTTAGTCAGAATCGCATATTTTCACCGATGAGAGTTGGGTCTAAAACCATTGAAAATGAACCCCCTTTGGTACTTAAGTTGATGAATTTCACTTCAATAAACGCGCACATATTCATAATTATTATTAAGTTGGAATAAATCTTAGCTAAGCTACGACACGTTCGTGATTAATTGCTTTTTCTTTTGTTATGCATTGTTTTAATTAGGCACAGAGGTGAAAATATGCGGTTTTGACTAACATTTTTAATCGGCCTCGTACATGGTTATTTTTTCTCCACTTTGGCAATGTATTTAAAACAATTTATGATGTCTATATGTCATATTTCAAAATTCAAATTATCCTTTTATATAACGATTATATTTCGAATTAATGTAACCCCCCCCCCCCCGCCCCCCTCTTAAATCCCAACGGTTTTAGGAGGCCTGGTTGCCCAGGCATTCGCGGTAGTAATCGCAACCTCGTTCCCAGGGTCTTTAGGAAAGACCCTGGTATCGGCTGGTCACGTGCCTCGTCCAAAATTGATTGCCCGAGGGGGGTGTGGTGAAAGTATCAAATTACAAACAGTTAAAAACATAAATTTTGCGAACTATTACCAGTAAGTTCAAAATACTTGCTAATTTTTGTTTATTTTATTTGCTTTGAATTTACAAGAACATTCTTACATTTTTACCAACAGTCAAGTCAAGAAACCAAGCAAATCGTTACTCCCAGTGCTCTCTCGTGCTATTATTATTCAATGCGACAATGCTCTCTTCACACTCGAGCGCGGTTTTATAACAAACGTTTATGGGCTTTTCAGTGGTCACCATTTCTACATATGTTATGTTTTTAAAACACCAAAAAAGGTTTTGTAAACGTTGCTATGCTTTGCACGTCTTGTTTATAAGATTTTTAAAAGAAACAGTATTGTATTGTATTGTATTGTATTGTATTGTATTGTATTGTATTGTATTGTATTGTATTGTATTGTATTGTATTGTATTGTATTGTATTGTATTGTATTGTATTGTATTGTATTGTATTGTATTGTGTTGTATTGTATTGTATTGTATTGTATTGTATTGTATTGTATTGTATTGTATTGTATTGTATTGTATTGTATTGTATTGTATTGTATTGTATTGTATTGTATTGTATTGTATTGTATTGTATTGTATTGTATTGTATTGCATTGTATTGTATTGTATTGTATTGTATTGTATTGTCTAGGACTAGAGAGTAGAGCCCAATATCAGCAAATGTAAACATTTGATACTAGCCAAACAGAGAAATGTCTGTCAGTGATTTATTTTTAAAATTTTGGATTTAGTATTCATTAATTATAGTAAGGCTTTAGTCTTTTTCTTAGTCAGATAATGTTTTCCTAATATGCACACAACTAGACTATAATCTACATCACAAATTTACAGTGTCAGTCTGACGCGCACAGACTGCCGTACAAAGACACATAAATTTTCAAGTTTTCTACTTCTACTAAGGCTACTAACAGTTTTCATTGTGTTTCAATCATCTGTTTATTTCTAGTTCAATAAGTTCATTTATATTTCTATATTTATTTGATAGTGGCATATATACTGATATCTGTAGGCTATTTATACACAAGCAATATCCTGGATATAATAGAGACGATACAAGGTGTCCATTTAAAAAATAACGGTATTCTATTTCACAAGGCAAAAAATTTAAATTTCGCTTGTATTATTAAGAATATATATAAAGCAGAAAATTAAAGCTTGTGTCAAAACGAAAGCTGTTTATAAAATTTATAAATGTGGTATAAACATAGTAGTATTAAAACACTGTGACAAATATATTGTCGTTTGACTTATCTTTGATGTATGACTTTACTGTATTAAATACCGTAGATTTTCAACAGACAGCTAGACTTTGACATCTACCATGATCGTTGAGATCTTGCAGGAAATTTTATAGTCTTTTGACGGGATTTTAGTTTTGTGATAAGGCCTTTATAATCAACAATCTCGATACAGTTGGCGTCTTGACGATATTTCGGAAATCAAAAGATCTCGCTATTTTGTTCCAATTCCACATCTCATCAATAAATATGTTCTTTTTGTACGAGTATCAGGATATACTTTAATACTAACAGTTAAATAAATATAAACCACATTGGCCGGTCTAGAGATATGAATTTTCTTCTAGGCTTATTGCCGCCGCCCACGCGTGCTTTCTTTGGCAAGTCTATAAGTAGAAATCTGATCAACTTGCTTGAATTGTAACTCGACACTAGATTATAGAGCAGAAAGTCACATCACGATAAATATTAATTTTTAATTGCAGTTCTCTGCACGATTTCTTGTTGCAAATTTAAATATCATCACACAAAATTGCAAACGCGACAAACACGCTCCTCTCCCAACCTGCCCATATTATCATTTTAATTTATCACCCAGAATCTGGGTGACACGTGACCAGCCGAAACCAGGGTCTTTCCTTCGCCTCGCGCCGTTCTAAGAAAGACCCTGGGAACGAGGTTGTTGATGCAGTCATTATAATGCAAATTTTAAATTTGATCAATCAGTTGTTCGCTATTCATGACAGTCGAGATTTTAAAAATTTGAACGAACGTGCATTCTTAGACGACATAAGATCAATTAGCACATTGAACCTTCACCACCAATACGCAAGTGCA